TTATCTGTTAAAATCATGATAATTTTAATACGTTAAGTGAAATCTTATAAATCATAATTGATTATATTAATTTGGTTTGAGTTATGTAATTAAAATCTCAATATTAGTTAATAGTAACTTGTTCTTAATTATCGATGTAAAATGGTTGAGAAAACGTAGTCCGTGAACTTTTGATGTGTATTATTGCCTAAAAAACAAAACAACGGAGGATATCATTCAGAGAATTTCAAGCAATCTCCACATGAAAAGTGGAGTTTTATTTTAACCATCGTTGGTGGGTTTGAATCACACAATTTCAGGACAACAGCAAGCAATAATATATAAAAACTTGAACAGACAAGTTTTAATTGCCTTTACTATATGTATATATTTCTTCATTCCTAATTTCAAAATATTTTCGTCAAGTTCATGCAAAGACTGAAATTAACTAGTCAGGAAAAAGAAAAAAAAAAACAGTGATTCACCGTAAAGTATTAAAGGGATGTGTGGTCCAAAATTAGGACAGGAAAAGGGGCATTGATGGAGAAGGGTGCCATCAATCAGCCATGTGTTTGGATCATCAGACAGGGAATGAAACTCTCTCGTGTCCTTTCCATTAAACAGAAACCCACAACTTTTGTTTTGTCGTTACAGTCTTACAGAAAGGGCAAAGAATGGCTTTGAAACTCTCAAACTCTGCCTCACCAGGAAGAATCCTATTTCTTCATCCCTCTCAAGTCATTTGGTACCAAATAACAAACGTTGGACGTTGCAACAGCCTGGTGATCTGGTCCCTCTGATTCAAAGTTTCAGGGTCTGGTCCCCATTATTTTAGGATTTTGATAATTGAAGCTACGGAATAATATTTTTATAAAAATAAAAAAAGCATTAAAATCGAGTAGTGACATTTGATTTCATGCAAGCAATTTAAAATATTTTTGGAAATCATAAAATTATTCATTCCAAATTAAACGTACACCATTAATTTTAGACCTAATGCTAGCGTGAAGATTTTTGGGGAGTATTTTTCAAACTTTGCCATAGTAACAAAATTACTGACTTCTGAAAGATGCCACTGTAACTTTTTCTCGATTAAAAAAATTGGCCTAAAAGAAGCAGCCCACTACTTTAGAAAAGTGTATACATACTACTACTATTTTTTTTTAATCACTGATAAAGTTCACCATACATTCTATATTACCGACATGTTTTATAACAAAGCTCTGTATTAAGGGTTTTTTCTGTTAATCGGTTTGGACAACTTTTTCTTTAATATTCGTTTTCTACGGTGTTTAGTTTACGAAATATGTGGTAAAACGCACTCAATATAAAAAGAACACTTGTTTTAGTTTTCAATTTATTTATTAATACATATAAAAATTATAATTAAGAGTGTAAATAATATATTAGTACTCGTAAATTATTCGAATTTGATTCGATAAAAACTCAAATTCGATTCGATTATTATCGAGTCGAGTTCAAGCTTGAATAATTCGATTCATCGATCGAATTGAATTTTTAATATTTTTATATCCGATTTGAGTAGCTTACGAGTCTAATCGAACTTTTATATTTAAATAAAATTTTATTATTTTAATTAATAAAATATATCGAATTTAAATTCAAACTTAGTATAACTAATCAAATTCTTATCGAATATATGAATCCAACTTATTTTTACATATTAATCGAATGAGCTCAAACAATTCAATTTCGATCATAAATTAAACTCAAATTAAAAAAATAAAACTCAATCGAATTCAAATCGAATATCGAATTACGAGTTAAAAATTAAATTTAAACTTAAATCTTTTACCGTATCAACTCGACTCAACTCATGACAACATTATCTTTTTGGTTTTCTTACAAACGGTTGCTTTTGTCAACTTCAAAAAGCATGTACACCTGGACTTATGTGTCGGTAAATAAGCCAATAAACTAACCATTTTACAAATATAGGCAGGAAATATTTATTTATATTAGTATAATTTTTATATATTTTTTAAAATTTTAGACAAAATTATTAAATTTAAATAAATCATGAATTTAATTTTTATCCAATAATTTAAAAAATTATGCTAGTATAAATAAATTTTTATTCTATATAAATATATTTTAATACTTTAGATCAACGACCAATTCAATCTCTTTTACTTTTACTTTTAGATGCCTTCATCGTGAATACATTTTCTAGAGAATGGATATTATTTGTTAATATGAATAGACCATTTCAAATTCTTCCTAACTTCATGTGTAATGATTTTTTTTGTTATTTTTTTCTTTAATGAAACTTTCAACTTAGAAATACAAGTAAAAATAGATTGACCAAAAGGACACTCAACAGATTTTAAAGACAAATAACACAAATGAAGAATTCAAATTCGTCTTTTGACAAAGTAGTAATGACCCAATCTTTTTTATATATCGGAAAAGTCGGACGCAACACAACGCAGTGTGCATCCGTGGACAGGCTACAACTGATGCAATAAAAAAAATAAACATAGAGAGAGAAAGATAGTTGGTGCGAGGTTGCTTTCGCCTTTCGCAAATAAGAAAATAAAAATAAATACTAAATCCATAATAAAACAAAATACTACTCAGTACTAATAATAAAACTAAATGTAATTCATTAATGTCACACCACCTTATATTATTATATTGGATTTGACCCCACCGAAATTTTCTCTACAGAGGGCTGGATAACAACAGGAGTTATCAGGTTAAATCTGAAGAAAGAACAAAATTTCACAAATGCAATCATTGTTTCAGGAGTTTTAAAATATAATATAAATAAATAATCAAAAGGCTTTTTACCTACTGCAATTCCAAGCTACTATGCTGACTCCCCTGCGTCAGTACGAGTCACAGAAAACAACAAGTTTTGGTGCCTGTTAGCTATAACTGAATACTAAAACAAGAGGCGCGCAAGATAAGAATAAAAAAAAAAAACTAAAGTTTTCCTTGCGGTGGATTTACAGGTTTTTTTTTTTTGGATAAGTATAAAAAAGAAAAAGATTTGCAGGTCTTTGAGTTTCTGTTTCGGTGGAGATGCCATCGTTTCAACCGAGACAAGTGCATATTTTTTTAAACTTTCGGTGAATTAAGCTGACGAATTTAGAATTTCAAGTTGACGGGAATTATTATTATTCATTAAAAACCTAAAACTGATAAGTAAAAGATTATCAGCTTGATGCTTTAATCCAATAACAAAAAGGGCTTTTTAAAGCTTTTAATCTTGTCATCAATTGAAATTTAAGTGCTTCGTACGCTTGTGCAGGTTGGTAGCTTCTGCAAGTCTCTGCATTCCAACTAACTGTTTTAATTTTGCCTGTATTACAAGCAAGACATTTTTCAATCAAGAGCATTTATTATGATAATTTAAAGACGCATGATATAATTTATGATATAAAAATAATTTTGTTTAAAATTTTAATAATTATTATATATAAATTTAAAAAATCATATTTTTATTAAAAATAAAAAATAAATTTTATATTTTTATATTGATAAATTATAATATATAATTTTTGTATAAAATATAATAACAATAATAAAATTTAAAATATATTTAATACACAATATTATGATAAAATAATATAATATAATTTTATAAATTAAATTAAATAATATAACTATATTTTATGTTTGATATGTGTAAAATTATTTATCAAAATTATTATTTTTTAATTTATATAATTTAAATATTGATATAATTTTTAAATTATAATAAGATATATGAATATAATATCATAAATTAAAAATAATTCTTTTTACTTTAAAATGATTAAATCATCTTATATTAAAAGAATTATTAAATCTTATTGTAATCTTTTTTTTAAATATAAATAAAATATATTATAAGATATTATCATTTTATTTTATCCATTATATTATAGACTAAATATGATATTAATACAAATACAAAAATTGTAAAATCTATTTTATGTGAAATTAGATCTTAAATTCTGGAATTATCCAAAGCTTCAAACATCCAAAAAGTTGGAAAGGGGCCGAGTCTGTACTATAAGCAGTTTCATAAATTCTTAATCGATTTTTCTCCTCCCTGGACCACTACTGGCTCTGAATAAGGGGTTAACCATGAATCTAGGTCTGAACTCCTATTCTCATATGCCGGGGAGGGGACCAACAGCCCGCCAAAGCCACAAGGGCTCCAGCCTCAAGGCTAACACACGGCTCCAAACCCAGTCATGGTTTGGATATATCCCCCTGTAATTCAAGAGAAGATCAAGTTGTTTTCAGTTTTGCAAATACAAGTAACTCCCATTTTTTTCATTTTGGTCGACGGATAAAAAAAGAAATAAAGAAACCGACACTACGCCACATTCATCTGGCAATATATCAGAATCAAAATATGCAGAAACGCCAACTACTAAATAGACAAAAACGCCATTCACAAGCTAAATATTAACCAAACATAAGATTTGGACTAAGGGAAATTAGCTAAAATTTGCAGATAGAACATCTTTTGTTCTGTTTTGAAGAGTATTGTTATCAAAATATCTCCTCCATTTATGCTTCGATCACCATCTAGAGTAATTCTCGAATTTGAAAGGCTTATCTAACACTGACGTTAGCCCATCAACCAAAACCGTGGGTGATAAACAGAGAACCTAGGATTTCAATCCAAACTATCACAGGACAAATAATTGCAAATTATTTAATGCCATTAAGATGAATAATATTGCAGAGAATCAGATGAAGCAACTAAAAAAATAGCTCAGGCCTAACCTCACAGCGCTCGAGACTGCACGAGGCTGCTTCCATCATCATCATCATAAAATTCAGTTCCAGTCCTTTAAGAAAAGAACATTAATAAGAATCAGAAAATGATAAAATTGGGGAATAAAAACATGAAAAAGAAGAGAGAGAAAAGGGCAAAACAGAAGGGATGGGGAATCACCTTTTTCCTCTGTGCTTTGGTTCTACAAATTCAAAGATACCTCGTCGCAGAAGATCAAATTAAGAAAACCAACAAGAACAAAATGAGACGAGAAACAGAGTTGGAATCAATTTCAAGGCTTCGTTGCAGATTTACAGAAATAAGAGGAACCAGCTTAAAAACAAAATCTGTAATCCCTCTTCTTAACAACTATTTTATAAAATCTTATTCATATTAGTAGTAAAATCAGATCAACCCTTACATAGAAAGAAAAAAAAACGAAAGGGGATTTAAACAGTTAAACCATGTATCATGGTATTTGATTCTCTAATAACCCAAGAGGGAAAAGAAAGAGAAAAAAATTGGAAGTCAAAATTTTCTTGGCTCATCTTCAATTACTGAAGCCAAACCAGTCACGATCTTAACCCCAATTTGTGTTCTCTTGGGCTTTATCTCAGGTGGCTTCCACTCTTTTTTCTCCACCTTCTTTTCCTTCCCTTCTTCTTCTTCTTCAGAGTTCTCAGAAAAAGCAAATATGGAATCCCCCAGCTCAGCATCTTCAACTGAGTTTTTCTCTTCGGGATTCAATTCAAACAAAGATTGGCCTTTCTCTTTAGCTTCGGTTTCGATTTTAAATTCTTCGAGTGTTCCAATTGTGGGCGTGGGCGTAGGAGTAGTTAAAGGTGAAGGAGTGGCTCGGTTATAAGGAGAGAGCCATTTGGCCTTGATATACTCAGTTTTTCGCCAAGGAGGAATATGCATTCCCTTCTTCTTCAGGCTTTGCTTTACCGCCTCTGAAACAATAGCAATTATCTTCTGGAGACGATCAGCTTTGCCTACGAAGATGAAGGGAAGCATTTGTAGGATTGATTTATAACTCTTTGTTGATCGGGCAATTTCGAATTCTGATCTGAAATCGATGTCGATCAGCAATCGTTCCCCGTCAATTATCACATCTATGTATTCATATTCCCCTGCTTGTTAAAAACAAACTACTATTATATCTGTAATTATTAACAGAGTAACTGGCTAGCATAAATATCTATGCAACTAATTTGAAGCCAGAGATAGTCTCCCTTTCTTCTTGAGAGGAAGCAAGTAGAATTACAGAGATATTTTTAGTAAGATTGGAGACAAAGAAAGTACCGGCGGGATAAGAGGGGGATTTTTCCCATCGAGATTTGCAGATAGAAGCATCGTATCCAAGGGCCAGTAATCCATCAGTAACAATCTTCCTGCAAAAATCATCTTTACGCTTACTGATCTTGTTCTTCTCCACAATCCTCGCCGTATCTGCCAGTAAATTCCTTTCACTCACACTCGCACAAGAAACCAAACTCTGCTCCATAAAAAGGAAAAGCAAATTTAAAAAAATTACTAAATCGTGCAACAAAAAAATTTTAAATAAGAAAAAAAAGAAGAAGGAAGTAATTGTTATACTTTTAGAATTTCAGATGCTTCACCAGAAGAAGTGAGATTGGAGTCACTGAAACCGAAACCAACCATTTCGTCTTCGGAGCTGTCGTTGCAGTTACGATTGAAGCAGTTACAGCGATTGCGGCTACACCTACCTGCACCAAATTGTTGTTTCTCGTTGTTTTCTTCGATGAAATTCTGCACCATCTTCGCCAAGCAAACAGAGCTCGGCTCAAACTCAGCAGTGCATTCTTTGTTAAAAGGCAGCTCATCAGCGGCAGCAGCACCGACTTTCTCCACGGCTGAATTTCTCAGAACGCTAGGGAACTGCCGCTCAAACAGCCGCTTGAACCGCGACTTCACCACCGGCTTTACCGTCTCCAACCGAGGCAGCGCCACGTCTTCTAGCGTGTTGAAATCGATCGGTTGGATCTTCATTGGGAAAGGCATGTTTCTCCGCTTCCACCGTTACCACGGCAGCTCTTCAAACTATTGTTGATTCTTCGCTTTGATAAGTAGAATACATATCCCTTTGTGATGAGATCAGCAAACGCAAACGACACAGAAATTCATAATTTTTTTTGAAGGGTCAAAAATCAATGCGGTTTAACAAGACTCGAGACTCTTAAGTTTGATTATTATATACTATTAGTTGCCTCTGATTTGCCAGACAAAGCATGGAATAACTTCAAAACTCTGCTAAGCAAAGTCGCTTTTGCTTAAGGGTTTTTTTTTCCCCAGATACGGTTAAAGTTCCCGAAATACGCGACGGCACGAGGACGTAACGTTATTGCCCTGGAAATTCACGCAAAGATCATCAGTGGCCCGTGACTTCATCTTTTGCCCCAGCGAACTGCTTCGGTTTTCAGGCGAAAAATCGCCAGAGACGAGAACGTGAAAGAGGAAAAAAAAAAAAAAGACGAAATAAGAGTAGGGGAGAAAGGGTCTGAAAATGAAAGTGAAAGTGTTGCTTCGATTGTGTATTGCTTTTGTTTTTTTGGGTTTTGGAGAACGACTAGCAGGGGAAATGGTCCGGTACATTATAAGGAGGGAGGTTAGGGATTGCTGACGAGGTTTGGATGGCCACGTTGGATCCGACGTGGAGGAAGATATAATCCGTTGAATTGGGGTACGTGTCAACCCTTGAACTCGGTTCGTTCCTTAGTCGTGGTTACACGAGGCTACGTAAAGGACCGAGAAGACGAGGGTGCCATTTTGAAATTTCTTTATTACCCATTTTTTATTAGGCCCGATGGCAAAGCTGGTTAACCTCGTGATACGGAAGTCTTTGAAACGGCTTCATGATCGTCGCGTGGGCGGGTTCGGTAAACTACCCTTTCGATGGTCAGACGAGAATACCGTCATTTCTGTAGCTAAAACTGATTACAAAATAATGGTAATTCGGGCATTTCACCCACTTTGAACTCCAAGTTTAGATGGCCTTTTTTCGTACTTGGAAAGTAAAAATTGACAGGTTGAACAATCGATCGTTAGTTGTCTTTTAGACTAAAATACCCTCATTGACCCCACAGGCTGTGTAGGTAATTAGAGTCAACAAACATGAATAGGAAAAAGCATTTGAGATGTGGGTAGGATAGTCATTTGAGTAAAAGTATGGTAAATTAGTGAAAAAGTTGAAGGGGGAGGTTAAAACTGCAAAGTGCGTGAGTGAAAGGGGGGTCCACAAATCAATGACTTGTTATGATTTTTTTTGGGGATTTGAGCGGGGGGGGGTGGCGAAGGAAAACCGGAGACGATGGGGGCTAAAAAAGGAAAGCGGTGGAATTTTCCTTTTGAAGGATGAAGTAATAAAAGAGGTTAACGGATGTCGTTTAGCAAGGCACGCGGCGCTATCTCGACAAGGACGTTATGTCCTTTAGTTCATGTGATCTAGGGTGGCCACTTGTCGTCTCTGAGTTCTTACAAACCGTTGGATTAAATCAATGCCCAAAAGCCCAAAAGAACATCTCCCTTCAAAACTTTAAACATTTCCATTGGTCCTTGTCCTTTCCATTTCGATTCTATGAATACAAGTATTTGCAATTTATTTATGATCGAAAATAGTACAATAATTCTTATAAAAAAAGAAATAGTACAACAATTGACATGCGACAACTAATAACTATAGTACTCATGATGGTTGTTATTATAATTACTTCCTAGTATAGTTCATAACATTAGTGTTGATCATTATTATACACATAAATTATAAATTTAAAAGAAAAACAACAACAATGTTTTCATTAAATGTCCTTTTTTTATATATAAATTTAATTTGAATCAAACACCACACGTGTCATAATTAAAGTTAAAGAAAAAAAGAAAAAAATTTATATTCCTATATATAAAAGAAAGGTTTTGAGTTTTTTTTTTTTTTTTTTTTACATATAACGAGTTACCTAATAATTACTGGCATTTAAAAAAATTATCTCATTTTCTTTAATTTTTAAATATTTAAATTATAGAAATAAAATATATTTGTCATTACCTATACATTATACAGAAATTGAGATTGGATGGTTATTAATATTTCGTATTTATATTGGAATTTTAATATTAGGTTTATTATTATTGAGATTTAATTGTTATGAATCTGATGGGTCTGTATAATTTTTATGGTAAATTGATGTTGAATGAATATTCAACTTTATATTTATTTTAATGAATATAAATTAATTTTGATATTCATCCTTTTTTTTACATATAACATAAAAATTTTTGTTCATGTTAAAGTATCAACAATAATTAATTATATTATAATATTTTTTATGAAAGATATATTAAAATCTTTAAATCTATATTATTTATAATTTAATGTAATATAAAAATTAACCTCACCTAAAACGGGATGAAACTTTGAAAAAAAAAAGGTTCAAACACTAATAATAATAATAATAATAAATACTTCTTTTGTCTAATTTTTTTGCCTTTTTTTTTAGATATCTCAAAATTATATATATTTTTAATATCTAAAATTTTTATATTTTAAATTATTTTTATTATTTTTATATTAAAATTTATGAAATTTAAATTTTAATATTAAATATATTAAAATTAACTTTTTAAAAATTTCATATAAAATAATATAAAACAAATAATATGAGACTGAAAGAGCAATAAAAAATAAAAAAAATGCAATGGCAAGGGGCAGGTTCCCATACGTTGTAGTTGAGGTCCAAAATGGTGTGTGACGTTTTGGGCCCATTGTACATTTAGGTGAAACAGAAAACCAAGAAGAATTTTTTTTTTTCCTGTTGGATCAGTGGGACACTCCTCCCTATTTCTCACCCTTAATTACTACAACCTGATTAAGATGTTGATATTTTAATTGAATAAATCAAATCAGATAAAAACCGATGACCAAATCAATCTTCTATTCAGAAACATAATAATAATAAGTAAATATAATACTAGTACTAAATTACTACTAATATCTATTGCTGCCAAGATATACGGTTGTCATTTCATATAATGGGCAAGTGGTGATGAATTGATGATACCCATTTCCATAATTGCCAACCATTGGTGTTTATTGTGGCTTCACTTTTGCCACGTGTGTGTTTTCTTAAGGCTAGACTCAAAAGAAAGCCATTATCATTATTAAGTTCACCAAAAAAGTAAGTGAGAAACAATTAATTAATCCTCTTTCGTTTTAAAATATTTGTTAACTATTAATTTTCATAAAATTTTCAAAAAAAATTACTTTAATATGTTTAATATTAAATTTTAATTTTTATATAAAATTCAAGTTTTATGATTTTTAATATGAACAAGTAAAAAAATTATTAAAAATAATTTTAAAATATAAAAAATAAGAAATTTAAATGTAAAAAAAAACATAATTTAAGGACATTTCAAAAAATAATATAGACAAAGAAAAGGGGATAGAGGGGGTAATTATGATAATATTTGATGCTTAAAATAATGTATAAAATAAGATAATTATTATCTTATATTATATTTGAAATATATTTTAAAAAAAGATAGTATTGTAAGAAAAATTAATCATTATTTTAACATATAATGATATAATTATCACAAAATATAAAAATTATTTTTAATATATGAGATTGAATTTATTTATTCTATTATACCTTTAAAATTTGCATTAATAATTTAAATTATAAAAATTTTTAAAAAATAATTTTAATTGATAAAAATTTTATCTTATTATAATATATATATATATATCAAATACAATATAAGATGATATTATTTAATATAACGTTAATTATAATATTATTTTATTTTATATTATCATAATTTTATAGTTAAATATATCCTATAATTATATTTAAATATTAAATATAAAAAGTTAATGATTAAATTAAATGAAAAGACGAAAGAATAAATAAAGAGCATAATAAATTTAACATTAAATTCTATCAAATTCATATAACGAAATTTAACTTAAAATTTTAAAACTTTGAAAGTTTTTTTAAATAAATCAAAGTTTTATTTGTTCTAATTCAAAATTTTTTATGTAAGATTGCAGTTTATAAATATAACAAAATTTAAAATTTAAAAATATTAAATATTAAATATTAGTTTTTAAATAATAATTATATAAATTAATTAAATTAAATTTTGTGGTAGTTTCAATTTAATTTTTTAAACCCCTGATATACATTAGGGATTGGGGTAAAATGTTTGCGTGAGAAACCTTTTTATTATTGATAAAGCTACCTACGAGGGGGACAGGACAAGACTTGTTAATGAGGAACGAAAAGATTGTTTTTGTCTCATTGCAACAACTTCCTTCACAAAGGAATGTAAGGACTATTAATCATAGAGAGATCACAACTCACTGAATAGAGATTACAACCAATATCACTGTACACGTTGCTGGACTGATCATTTTGTTTTTCTTTCAAATATTCGTGTTGAAACGGTATTTGCAAGTCTATAATCTACATAAAAAAGGAAAATCTTTTAAAGTTATCTTCATTTGTCAATTTCAGTTACAATTACAACTAATACGAGACGTCAAATATATTAAAGGATTAATTATGGCATAAAATAAATTGTTTGAAAATTATTTAAAGAAATAATTTTTTATTTTTGTTTTTCCTTTGATTTATACACATGCCAATAAAAATTTTCTTTTTTTATTTTAGTATTTTTATTTTAGTTTTATTTTTTTTTATTTACATATGTATTTAAAATTTAAAATTATGAACATGTTTTGATCATTTGATTAACATTAAAAAAAAAACTAAAAATATATGTTAAACAAATATATTTATATTTATATTTATTTATTCGTTTTATATAAATTTTTAAAATTTTGGAAATAAATGAACATTCTTTTGATGATGAAATTAAAAAAAAAATTACAAGTGATGTTTAAAGTTTTTAGATGAGACTTTTTTTAAAATCTTACAAAAAGTGTTAAAAAGATTTTGGAAGTATTTCAATAAAAATATTTTATTTAATTATTAATAAAAACAAAAGTTGGTAAAATAAAAAATAAAAAATTCAATAAAATTTTAAATTAATCCGACTACAACACTTCCTTAAATAATATGCGTTTTTTGAATACTTTTTAGATGAGATAAAAAAATTTTTATTAAAATATTACAAATTTCTAAAAAATTTTCAATATTTCAAATAATAAAATATAATTAAGAATAAAAAACTATTTAGATAAACTATTTTAAAATAATATAAGATTAATTTGTATTATTTTTTAATAGACATTTGTAAGAGTGATAATACATTTTTCGTATGTAAATTAATCAATAATATATAATTAAATCTATCCTTAAGAGGGAACAACTCTCAATTCAAAGGATAGCTCAAAATTAAACTGTCAATTTATTTTTTATTTATGAAATAGTTATTAATTGATAAAAAATTTAATAAATTATTACATTTAGCAAGTAATTGTATAATTATATTTTTATTTATTTTATTATTTTATTTTAAATAATTAATCTATCTCAACTTAGTGAGATACTAATTATAGCAAATTTATGAAGATCATGTAAAAATGATTTGAGTTAAAAACCTTGAAAGACTTTTAATATTATCTCATTTATTAATAATTGGGTGGATTGCGCGGGCGAATTGAGTTTATGTTAATTACCTCAAATAGAATATTTTTGAGTAAAAATTTTGAGTTATTATGAGGTTTGGATTTGAATTTAGATTTTTTGGGTTTTAGTTTTTTTATTTAAATTTTAAATTTAAATAAAAATTTTGAATCATTTTTTGATTAGTTTTTGAGTTATGCAGATTTAATTTTTTTAATTAAACTTATTTTGATTTTAAAACACTTTAGATTCAAATTAAACAAGTTCGGATTATTTATTTTTTATTAAATTAGATATGATTGAATTCAGGTTTGAAGGAATTGGACAAATTTTTTGAATTAAAATATTTTCACAAACTCTCTGGTGTGACAATTTGATAATAAAAATTAATAAAAAGTTAACTAACATAAACATGCACTAATTAATGTGACATTTAATTATTAACGACTAACATATTGGTATTCCAAATAATTAAACAACGAATTTTTTTCAACTTTTAGAAAATCCCTAATAATTTTGGCAAAGAAAAAAACACCACAATAAAATTATTAGTGATAATTTCAGTAGATATTGCATAGACCATTCGAAAAGTAAGATTTTGACATAGAATCAACATAATTTATCTCAAATATTTTGATTTAGTGACCAAAAATGTTTGAAGAGATATCAAAAATCTGATTTTAAGTTAGGCTTTCCCTCTCCCTTTACTTGTATTAAAATTTTTGTCCTCGTAAAAAAAATATATATATATATATAATTCGCATGATTCATATGCCCATGCTCATAGTGAAAAAATGTGATAAAATAAATAAAAAATTTGGTTACTATATGCTAGAAAGCATTTTTTATATTATATGTGTGGATTGCATGTATTCATGATATCTTTGCACATATTTTCTATCTTTACTTGGCAATGATTTTCTTCTTATTTCCTCTCTTTTTTTTTTTTTTTCCTTATGCGAAGCAACAACTTATATGTATTAAACCGAAGAGCAGTACTTTAATCTATTTTAAATATTAATATTATTATTATTATAGAAATAGCTTCGACTTGAAGATAATAGATGGTGTTATATGAATTAAAAATTAAATTATAAATTTGTTGTATGTTATTTTTTAAATTATTATATTAATTGATTAAACTAGATGTTGATTAAAAAAAAAGGGTTTTAGGTCTAACAATTTAAAAACAATCTTCTCGCATCAAATGAAGTAAAAGAATGAAGAGGTTCATCTAACATTGGTAAACTAAAAGAAAGATTAGTAATTATTAGTTTTAAAGTGAAAAATAGGTAAGCTTGAAACTCCGGTTAATTCGTTCATGGAAAGCAAATTTCTTCAATAGAAGGCTTCGTAAGATCGAAGCAAAGTGATTTTTTATATGCTGTGATGCGAGTGAAAATTTGAGGCCACCTTCATGAGAGCACATAAATATAAATTTTGGGGAATAATTTCCCGAAAGTTTTTACTCAAGTATAGTTCCACCAAAAAAAGGTTTTAAGTTGGAATGATTTCCTTTTCGATGACATTTGACAGCTTAAAACTTTGGGGAACATGGGTTGGGCTGCTCCGTTTGGTTCTTTTTAGGCACTCAAAATGCTTTCAACTTGTCATGATTTTCTTTTTTTTTTTTTTTCTGACAAAGAGAAAAAAGTAGAAAACTTTTGGAGTCGTGTATTAGGGTCTGGGTCCAACTAAGATGATTAGAAATGAGTTTGATTTTTCCTAAGAATTCCCAAGCTGAAATTTGTTCTCTTTCCAAACTTTACATGGGATGTAATGTCAAATTTGATTGAATTTAAGGGTCTTTTTTTCTTTTTCTACCTCTTAGATCTGATATCTGATATGATATTGGTGTAATTGATTCTCTGCTGGGCCTTCATCTTTTGATGTGTAGGCTCCAGGGAGAGAAAGGACAGCCATGTGTCTGAGCACTGGACCCCCCAAACATTTCTCTCTCATGGTGGGCCTTACTCAGAAATGCTGTCTCCCCAATTCATGGGCTTCATTCTTAAGAACAAAAATTTACCTTTGCCCAGAACGTGCTTTTTTTTTTTTTTTTTTTTCTCAGTACCCCCATCAAACTAATAGAGATTCTAGTTTCATTGCAGATAAAAATAGATAAAACCCCATGGATGGAGGATTTATGTGGGGCCCTGCTCCTAATTCCTAAAATCCCAATAAAAATTTTGTGGTGGGAAAGATAAGGTGTTAAAATTTCACCGTCAGGACCCCACTGAAAGCGTTACCTGCATATTTTTGTGTAATGGCATCCACGACCTTTGGGTTGTATTATGGTGAGAAAATGGTCCCAAATCAAATCAACGCTAAGACAGCCTAGTGAATGAGAAAAAGAAAGGGTAATCCAATGCAGCTAAGCCCTGTAGAACAAAACTATCAGAACTTTGGTAACTGGCCAGACTTTTATTTCAGTAGACCAAACCATGTTTTTAGTGTTACCCTGGCCTAGACCCCAGTTGGGAAGTGGCATTCAATATGGCTAAAGTTTAGATGTTCATTTGGTTTCATGTATGTGATCCCGGATGTATGTTGGATATGTTAGTGAAAACTTTTCATCTCTTTGGGCTGATTTTGCAGACAATAGAAAATAAATTCCACCTCTTTCAATACATGAATTGAAAGCCTTTTACACCAATACCATATAACTATGATTGATCACATTTGTATTACCTTCAATGTTTTAAAACACAGGACCGATCATTAAACTTGTGCAAGGTTTGGTTTTTTATTCAATTGATTTGATTGATTAGTTCAATCTGATTTTTTGTAACAATATTGATTCTCTTATTTTAAAGAAATGAATTTTGAGATATGGTATAGATCTTATTGGAATTTATTTTCTAAAATAAAAATATACAACTATTAAGTGAAAATTCATTGGTTCAAATTAAAGTTATACTAACTTAATCGAATAATACATATTCATCTCAAAGCTTTTAGTTTAATGGTTAAAGGTACTTGAGAGGATATCAACGACTTAATTTGAACTAAATTTCTTCTATTTCTCTTTATTTATATTAGAGTTTTGCTCTCATGATATAAAAAAAATACACATTTTTCGAAATAAAACTTTATATCAAAATATTTTCTAAGAATTACAAAAAAAAAACACAAGAATTTCCTCAAGCAAAAGCATATTAATAAATTTTTAAAAATTTTACTATTTGGTAATAGTTATACATTGTTAATTTTCTTCCGTCTTAAGATGGGTTATTTTTGTTTTCACTGTTGGTATTTTATGTCATGTCACAAAGAACTACCAAGCAAATTCGTTGATGCTACTCAAGCCCATTGTTCTTTTATTCATATAATCTAGAGTTTTAATTTCAAACCCACGGTTGTCTACCTGATCTGTTGGATGCGTGATAAAGCACATTACATTTGTCAAATAAAAGGAAACAAAACAAAAGCAAAAAATAAAAGCAATGATGTATATCCTGAAAAAAAAAAAAGGCACAATTCAAGTTGCTTCAAATAAGTATAAAAAAAAGGTGACAAAAATCCTAAGTGCTGGTATTGTCTGAATACATCAAAGAAAGAAGCAAAAAAAAAAAAAAAAAAAAACTTCACCATTTCACCAACCTAGTAAAAGCATTCATGCTTTTAACTTTTTGACAAAGTTAATTACGACTTTCAATGGCTTCTCAGGCAAAACTCTATTTCATTACCTTATCTGTGAGACTTCTTCAGTAGCCTTTATGTGTGTGTGTATTTTTTTTCTCAGTCTCATAACGTGTTTCTATTTCTTTCCCAAAGTGCAAGTGACCCACTTGGAACTTAATCCCCTCTCTTTTTATGGTTTTTTCCTCCTCGTTTTCTTATCAAGTTATTTGTCTGCTTTTTCTTGAACATATCTAGGATTGTTTGCCACTTTGGCACTCGTTTTAATTTTTAGGTAGTGCACTTTTACCCGTGGCGAAACAAGAGAGGCTGACGCGTTTGTAGGCATCGATGGCAATGAAGTTGGGAGTCCCGCGGTGTCATCAAAGTCTTTGGGTTAATTTTATTCTTTTCTGATTGAATTAATTCCATTCATGTCATGAGTGCAAAATAAGAAAAGAAAAAAAAAGAAAAAAGCTAATGAAAGATGTCACTCGATTTGGTCCCCTCTTAGCCTAAGGCCCATCTCTTTTGAATTTTGGTGATTGATTCTTAGCTCTTTTTTCTTTTTTTTCTCCAAAGGAAAGCCAAAAGTGGATGCGTCTGTTCCATTCAAACTGGAAGCTTGTGCGAGGTTGACATGGCTTTACACATGTCCAATTCTTTTGGGCCCAATTGAAGCCCACGTTTTTGTCTTACAAGTTTAATGGTGAATAGAGAATGCCACTATGTCAGTCATGTCTCATGTGAATGTGTGATTGCAAATTTGGGCTCAGTGCCTCAGTTAGGTGGTTCTAAGTTCAGAGTCATGAGCTATAATATCTGTTATTGTTTCGCATCAACCAAAGGTTGGACAAAGGAGAAGACAAAGCCTTTTTGTCCAATGGTCCTTTAAAGATGCAGCCCATGGAATTTATGGGGGTCGGGGTCAGCTGCTGGTGCAAGGTGCTATGATGCTGGGAATTCGGGGAAAAGGAAAGGGTAGTTAAGTAATAATGCGAAAATTTTAGAAATGGCGAAAACGAGGAATTTTCCCACCCAAAATTAACCGCCATTTCATTTTCCGGCATTTAAAATGACAACACATAAAGACCTCCCCGCTTCCCATTAACCCAAAAATCTACCGTCTTTTTCTTATTTCCACTGTTTCTTTGCTTTCCGGTTTCCCATCCTTCTCAGGTCTCTCTTTTTTCCTTGGTTTTTTTTTTTTTCTTTTCGATTTGAATTTATAAACTTTGAAAACGTCTTTGATTAGATCTGATTAGCGTTTATCAGATCTGTGTTTTTACTAATTTCTGGTCGTATTATTTCTAATTTTCTTTTTTTTTTGGGTACTAATTCAAAAGTAAATGTGGGTTTTTATTAAAAGGTGAACGAAGATGGCAGGAAAAGGCGGAAAGGGGCTTTTGGCGGCGAAAACAACGGCAGCTAACAAGGAAAAGGATAAGGACAAGAAGCGCCCTGTTTCTCGTTCATCTCGTGCCGGTATCCAGGTATATTTCAAATTACTGCCATTTACTTGGTTTTACATAAAAAGTAGTATCTTCTTTTTCCTCTTTCTTTGCCTTTTGTATTTTGAATAGTATATGCTTAATCTCTTTAGATGCCTTGGTTCATTTCCTCTTGAAATTAGAGTTGCGTTGAATTTCCTCTTGTTTGCCAATGTTATTTGGAATATTTATTCTACACTTCTTTATAATAGAATATTATTGCTATAATGACCCTTTCCTTGGTACTTGTCACACTTTTGATTTCGTATGTCTGTACTAAATTCTTCTTTAGACTTTTCTTATTGTTGGGGCTGTTCTGAAAGCTTAAAAAAAATGAAAGTTCACTATTCAATGAATTTGTAGTTCTTGTTTTAGTATTAGGGAAAAGAAGCCTAGTTTCTTGAAAATCTAGAGGCTGCTTGGGTTTGAGCATTTAATATTTTTTTTCTTGTCTGTCCTTTGTTTAATTTCTCACTTTCTCACAAGATTTTATTGCATGGGTTGGTAGTAACCTTGAACTTGAAGCATGTCAATCGACAAAGTACCTGTACTTGTTGTGTAGCATGTTATATTTAACTAAGCCACATACGTTCTTACTGTTTTCTGGGTTAAATTTATTATGGCTATATTTTTTTAGTTAATTCTATTTACATAATCGTAGGCTTTGTTGTTTTCCAGGTGAGACCATGCAAGGCAAAGTAAAAGTTTTCTTTTCCCCTGTATTTGCAATATGTTTCTTGGTTTTAGCTCTATATTTACTGTATTTAGCATTCAATAAGATCTTTCTCTCAACCGCTCCACGCTCTCACACATTTCATGTTTCTTCTCGATATTAGTTCCCGGTGGGTCGTATCCACCGTCATCTAAAGTCTAGGGCTTCTGCAAATGGGAGAGTTGGGGCCACAGCTGCTGTATACTTGGCCTCTATCCTTGAGTACCTGACTGCTGAGGTTCTTGAGTTGGCTGGAAATGCAAGCAAGGATCTGAAAGTCAAGAGAATCACTCCAAGGCATCTGCAGCTGGCTATTAGGGGAGATGAAGAGCTTGACACCCTTATCAAGGGTACCATTGCTGGAGGTGGTGTGATCCCTCACATTCACAAGTCCCTAATCAACAAAACTACCAAGGATTAGTTAGTTATGTCTGATTTTAACTGATATTGACTATTGAGTACTTTTATCTGTTATGTGTCTTTGTTTTATTGTTGGCTTTGTTTAATCTGTCTAGAATACCTGGTCAGTATATATGTTTTAACTCTCTAGTCTTGTTCCTTTGAATTTGGGATCTTTGTTTAGAGTAGGAATGATGTTTGTTATCCGATTATGGCTGTCAAGTTTAGTGTGTGCATTTGACATGATTGTGAAATTGTTTTTTATTTTCTTGTAACATGCAGCCTTTGCTTTTATGTTGAGTTGTAGACCATGGTATTAGACTTGTTCATGCATTAGGTTAGATTTGATTCAAGTCGAGTTTAGATAGGGTATTAAGTATTAACAAGCTTTAAGCTTGTTCAGGCCCGGTTTGAAATATGGTTTTTTGTTGCTCAAGTCCGGCTTATTTTTAAAAGCCTCTATCTAGACTTGTTTATATTTTAATTTTTTTAAATAAAAAATAAAAATAAAATTTTATAATAAATATGAATTATGATAAAATAAATAATTCACAAAATAAAATCTAAAAGGTATTTTATAAATTTAATTTGATATTCAAATGTGATTAGTAATATAAGAATAGGACATTAATGTATATATATTATTTATTTATTTTTATGCAATGTAAATATAAATAAAAAATATATGAAAGTTATTTAGGTTGAGTTTGAACATTAAATTTTATGTCTAAGATTTGGTTTGTTTTTTAAGTGAACTTAAAATTTAAGTTTTAATTTGTTTAATGAATTTGTAAATTCATGTTTAAATTTTTAATTTTGAATAAATTTTTAGAGTTAGATGAATAGTTGAACTTTTGGATTTAATTTATCATATTATTGCACACGGTCATTCGGGTTCCTTTCAAATGTTGATCGTGCAAGTATTAAGATTTATTAGATGATATGATAAGGTAAATGTAGCTAGTTTAAGACTTCCTAGTTTGGTGTCAAATTACTTGTTCAGTGTATAAGCTTTCACAAGAATTGGTTAATTCTAGAAATTGTTTTTACTTATGAAATCTCATGCAATAGAAGTATACAACTAAGTTAAAGACAAAAACAAACTAAATTTCATTTTTATTTTTCAAATATGAAATATATTGAATAGTATAAAGTTGAATATAATATAATCTCTATATGGTAACAATTTGGTTATTGATGTAGATAAGGGTTTATTTGACAAAAGTGGCGAAAGTACCTTTCATCATGTTGTCACTACTAAATGAGTTTCAATCAGTTACATTTGGTCGCCAATTCTTTTAGTTTTAGTTATTGGTTGGTTATAATAATTAAAAATTTGGGTATCCAAAAACTTTTTGTTCAATTTGTTCAATAGTGGCATAAGCATCTAGCAAATTGCGTTCTTCCTAAGATTCTATATTTCTAGCATGTCAGTATACGATCAAGCTTTCCAAGAATAGATTTGGGTGATTTTACTAAACAATTGTAGGATTCATTTGTTTAAGCTTTGATCAATGGAGTTGGACCTAGCAATAGAGCTTCGTAATTCAGATTCACGCACGTTTGTATATATTTAACAAATTAAAGCTTGGGGATGAATTATTTGGCCAAAAAAAAAATGCTTCCAGGTGGGCATTGGGTATTGAAAATGTCAGCCTGATGTGATATCGCGAAGCATTGAAATTTTCAATTTCCACTCTCAAGTACAGGAAACGTCTAAAATCACTATATATGAGCATTAAATGTCCACTCGTTGTATGTTAGAGCTCAGCAATTTTCAAATACCAACAACGGCATACCACCAAAAAGCATCTTTCACAGCAGCTTGGACTATTGAGCAAAGCCTAATGAGTGCTAAAGATTCCAAATGTCAATATATCCTAAGTTTAGCCTTCTCCAATATGCTCGACATGCACATTTTGTTGTTATATAATTCCCCCATTCTCTTCGATTAAGTCGCCATTCTTTGTACCTCAGAACTCTCTCCCCCTCTTTCTCTCTCTGTCTTCTGGGAATCCTCCTTTTTTTTTTTTCCCCATTTTATATGGAAGCTAAGCTTCTTCCTCAAAGCAGGAGTCCTATGGCTACGACTCCTGCTTTAAGGCGAATACATAACCAGGGATGCACTACTATTGTTGCAGTGCTGGCAAGACCAGCGGAAAACGTAGCTGGAATAACAGAGAAGTTGAAAGTAAAACCGGCTGAAAACAAAACTGAGGTAGCACCGAAAACCAGTATTGTCCATAATGATAACTGGCTTGATCTGATGGCCATTAACCATCTATCTCAGTGTCTCCAATCCGCAACAGGTTCATTCCTTGCATCAGTGACCCATTCTTTGCCATAATCTAGATTTTAGGAATAAGACGACCAGGAATCTTAATGATGAAAAGTTGCAAATGTATGCAGGGCTGAAAACCAGGAAGAGTGGCTTTGACAGCTTGGTGGAGGTAGCGACAATGATGTCTAAGAAATTTAATCCTAACAGACAGCAACAGCTAGTCATTCAAGCTCTTGATAGTGCCATCCCCAAGATAATTCTAAACATGGCAAGTTTATTGCAGTATTAGTTACTTGATTATTCATTTCTTTTGAGTTGCTAGGAATCAAATAGGCCGGGAAACTACTGCATGGAACTCATCAGAGGTCTTATACCAGATAATGATGGCATTATCAAACGAATATCCTTTTTTAGTTAAACCTGAACTCAAAAAACATATCCTTTCTTTAGGTCCAATCAATACACTTCTGAAACTTTTCCCTTTTCTTTTTAGGAAATGAAAAGCAAAAAAAAAAAAAAACCCTATTTTTGGCTGGATCTGCCGCAAAGCAAAACCGGGAGAACTTAGAGATAAACCTAGAAAAGCCATGTTTGCACGTCACATTCATCTTCGGAGTCTACATTTCCATATTTTCATTCTGAGACATACACAACCTCTCCGAAGTTTTGTTTTTTTCTTTTGGGCCAAATCCGAATTTTTGTTTTTAAATTGTTAGATAAATGGTTTATTAAATAAATATCGATATCATTGATGTTGTGTCGATCAAGGGCAGATAAAATCATTGCTGCCGCAATCTCAATTCACAAGGGAATATTTCGCCGCCTTCACCACGGTGTTTTTTGCTTGGCTCATCGGACCATCCGAGGTAAGGCCAAAGGATATAGTATTGCCTATTAAATATATTCCTTTACAATATTCCTTATGTTTATTGTTTTGTATATATGCATTTTAACCCTTTAGCAAACACTAACATGCATAGACCATGTGCGGCTCTAGTTACTCATAATGAAGTTTCACTCAAATCCTTCAATGAATATACAGTAACCTAGCGATGCAACATTAAGAATGCAGCACCTAGCCGAAAATTTTTGGCTCTCTTTTAATTGAAGCTATACAACTTCTGTCATGATGTAATTTTTCTGATGAACTTTGTGAATGAAATCTAACATTCTTATCAATTCAAAACCACAAGGTCAAGGAATCGGAGTTCAATGGAAGAAGAGAAAAGAATGTAGTCCATGTAAAAAAGTGCAGGTAATTTTAACATCCCCCTTGAATTTAATTAGCTCTACAGTTTAACCCAAGTTGGAGTCCCACCTCACCAACTTAAGACACTTTCATATAAACAACCTGCTTCAATGATTGTGTGTTGGACTCAGTTCTTGTCCATTGCTATCATGATGGTCATCATCATCATCAATATCAAAATCATCATTAAAGATTTCATCACCCTTAGATCATCCTGGTAAATTATTTGATCAAACTTTTGTAGGTTTCTGGAGCAGAGCAATTGCGTAGGAATGTGCATCAATCTATGCAAGATGCCATCTCAAGCCTTTATTAAGGATTCCCTGGGAATGCCTGTAAACATGGTGCCTAGTAAGTATATGGTCATTCAGACCCTATATATTTTTTTATCATTCAGATTCAATGTTTACGACAATAATTAAATAAATTATATAGGGAAAGTTGCCATTAGAATAAAATAACATCTGATTTCCTACAAAAGTAAATGAGAAAATTGAAGTATTGAACAGCAAAAGGAAAAAGAATAATAATTCAAAGAGTAACAGTACCAGCACTAGAATGTGGAGCTCATGCTCATTATGTCAATGAAGGGCCCGCATGCTTAACCACTTAGGGTGCAAAACTTCAAGTGGACCCATCCAACCTCAACTGAGAACACTAGCATGTAAAATAACACAAAATGAAATGAATATATGGAATCGTGATGGTAATACTTACATTCTAGGCCGTAAATTGGGTATAACGATCTTATGATTAATTCCATGTATCAACTAGTTATGAAAGAGGCTGAATTCTTCTGGTTCCCATGAAGCCAATCATTATTCTACAACCAAACCCATATAAAATCACAATGTGATTATAAATTGTATCATTAAAACCATCAAAGTTGAATATTAGTCACACTTCCACGTTCCAATCATTTTTGAGAAGCACAAAACCATTATTATTCACACTCCATATTGGTTGGTAGTGACCATAATTAAACAGAATATGGAAGCTCATCTATCGGAACAGTTAATAGAACTGTGTGCATTTTTAACTGCAGATTTTGATGATATGAGCTGCGAGATGATTTTCGGTCAGGATCCTCCAGCATCAAATGATGATCCAGCACTCAAGCAACCATGCTACAAATTATGTAATAATTTATTTAAACTGCTCTTTCAGTACCTATATCTCTATCTTTTATATTTACTCCAGATCCTCAGCATATCATTGTGGTGCGTACTACAACCTCGTATTAGGTCCTCTAACTTGGCCAAAGACTAGGCTGTTCCTGGCAAAAATGAGCTTTCATGAGTGCAATATGATAGTAGAAAATATATTAAATTTATGACTGAAATTGTCCTTTTGTAAATATCTCATGCAGGTAGGGCAAACCAAAAGCACACAGTGAAGTGCTCCAGTTAAGGCTCAGTTAATAAGGTCTTTCAACACTGACAACAGATGATCTGAAAATCTTTTCCTTATTGTTCAATATAATGCCTTGTAAAATATTCTTTTTGAAATTTAGAAACACTCCATTCAACAATATAAATTATTTCAGTGCAAACAGTTAAAGCCTTTTCTTTTCAAGAAATTCTATGCAGTCACAGTTCCTACAATTATTCATAGCCAATGAGAGTAAAAGGATAGCATAGCATGCTCAACGTGTTGAGAATTTTGGTAAGCCCTTTTGACATTTTGAACTATACCATAGTATGATACCAAATTCATATCACAAAAAAAAAAATTCAAACGCAATAAGAGGATTGTGCTGGCAAACAAACATAAATAACCATACAAAAAAGAGTAATAGAAAAGTTAACACGCCGCCTTTTGTGCAGTACAATAA